ACAGATAGAAAAGACATTAAAAGGCTTACCAAGCAAGGGAAATAATTTAAGCTAACTCATGAAGTGAAAGTAAAAGGCAACCTCCAAGTAAAAGAAAAGGAAACATCTAGCTCTCACAGAATGTTAAGCCATATGGAGTTGGAAAAATAAGTTGAAGCATAGTCATCACTGGAACCCATATTGCAAAGAAAATGAATGCCATTAAAAGGAGATTGTGGAAGCCTCAGTTGGTTAAGCATCCTACTCCTGATTTCAGCTCAAGTCGTGATCTCAGGGTGGTGAGTTCAAGCCATGTGTTGGGCTTCACACTCAGCAGGGTGCCTGCTTCTCTCTTACTCTCCCTCTCTCCTTCTGACCCTAATCCCTTCCACCTCCCATTCACATAGTGTCTCTCAAATAAATAAATAAATTTTTTTTTTTTAAAGGAGATTGTATTCCTTCCTCTGAACACTGGGGAATCATGAACATTTCTAAGTCACATAATAAAAGTGTACATAAGATGCATTGTCTGCAAATAGAGACTGATGTGAAGGAGTATTATTAAAAGGCTATTAAAAATGGAAATTCTGTAAGCAAATCCACCATAAGAGTGATAAACTGACTACAAAATTTATATGCAAATGCAACAGGCCCAAGAATAGCATTTTATTTAAGAAGGAAGGAAAAAGGTAGAAAGACTTACAATGAAGACTCATAAAGCTTAAGGACTTAGGTCATTTGATATAAAGATTCGTTACGAAGTATTAGGTATTAAGCTAGTGTAGCATGCTAAAGGATTGATAGAATAAAACAGAGATTCCAGAAATAGGCACATATACATATGGACCCTTGATTCATGAAAAGGGCAAAGCTGGTGATGTGGTCATTGATCCATTGCTGGTGATCTTGGATGATTCACAGAGAGGAAATGACAGAAAAGTAGATATTGATATTGATACTGATATTGATATTGATAGGAAGATTGTTGATCATGGAAAAAACAGGTGGGCCTTATAATAATTTGTGACAAAATTCTAAGATTATTAAATAAATTACTTCATGCTATAGTGTCTTCTCTCAGAATTTTGTATTTAAATATTGTCATACCAATAAGTCGAAAGAAGAGTATGTAACCTCCATTTGATTTTAAGAATTAACAGCTATATTCACTCTCTCTCTCTAAACATACACACTATTTTTGTCAACCATTTGAAAGGAAGCTTCTGATACCATAACGTTTCACATCAAATATTTTAGCATGTATCTAAGGACCACATTTTTCTTTATATCCATAATACTACTGTATTTCCACAATGGTCTTTTTTTGCACATTGCAATTCTGAGATAATTCTCCCTTTTCCCTAAAGCACTGCTTTTAGAAATTCCTTTTAGTGGTTTCTGTATGTCTGAAAAGATCTAATTTATCCTTAATCTTGGGACACTATTCTAGGTTGCCATTAAAAGGAGATTGTGGAAGTGCCTGGGTTGAAGGTTACCTTCTACAAGCACTTCACAGTACTATCCTACTTTATTCCATTTTTGCTGTTAAAAGGTTTGCTAAATATGAGCATTTTATGTGTCAACTTGGCTGAGCTGCAGGGTGCCTAGTATTTGTTGAAACAATATTCTGGGTGTGTCTGTGAGGGTGTTTCTGGAATTAACATTTGGATCGAGAGACTGAGTAAAGAAGATTGCCTTCACCAATGTGGATGGTCATTGTCCAAACCACTGAAGGCCTGAGTATAATAAAAGACTGAGAAAGGAAGAATTTGCTCTCTCTGCCTGACTGTCTCGGAGCTGGGGCATCAGCCTCTCTCCTGCCTTCAGACTCCTACTGGGACTGGAAAGTACGCTCTCGCTCTCTGCTTCTCAGGCCCTCAGACTTGAAAGGGAACTATCCCACTGTCTCTCCTGGGTCTCCAGCCTGCTGACTACAGATCGTGGAATTTCTCAATCTCCATACTAGCATGAGCCAATTACTTATAATAAATACATACCCTATTGGTTCTGTTCTTCTAGAGAACCCTGACTAATACACTGATGGTATATCTATCATCCTTGGTGTTTTGTGGAGTCTTTTTTTTTTTTTTTTCTGGCTTATTTTGAGGATTTCTCTCTTTGGGGTTCTGGAATGTCATACAAGTTGCCTAGGCACCTTTTTTGTTTCTCCTTCCTGAGATTTGTTAGTATTCCTGAATTTGAGACTTGTAACAATTCTGGAAAATTCTCAGGTGGTATTTCATTGACTTTTACCTTTTATCCTTTATTATATCCTTGGGAATTCCAAATAGACACATGAGATAGACACTCTATTAACCATGTCTCTCAGCCTTTCATTGTTCCCATCTCTTTTGTTTCTCTATGCTGTATTCTGCATAATATCTTCAGAACTATCTTCTTGTTCACTAGGTCTCTCATGTGTCTTATCTGCTACATAAACTACACATCAAGCTTTGGTTTGTATTTTCCATTTCTAGACAATATGTTTTGCTCTTTTTCAAGTCTGCCTCACTGTATCACACAGTATTTTGTTCTTTGGGCATACATAACTTAAGTATTTTCATTTATCCTATCAAAATGATAAGTCTATTTTTTAAAATTCTGCATGAATAATCCTAATATCTGAATTCTTTATACTTGATTATATTGTTTCTGTATAATCTATCTCATGGTGGCTCAGTTCCTTGCATGATTTATGATTTTTTTATTGTAAACTTATATTTTTAAAACTTTTTACTTCAAATTACTTCAGACCCTAATTAAAGTGTTCTCCTTTAGATAGGCTCTGAATTTGCCTCCCCTGGGGCCTAGGAGCACTACCCAATTGATTAGCTTTAAATTCTCAGCAGGAAAATTTTCAGACTACAAAGTTGCAAACCTATTTAAGGTTCCCCCTGTGGTAATAAATGATCAGGAAAATTTTCCCTCCCTTTCCACCCAAGTCAAGGACAAGACTGGCAAGTATCCTTACTGTCTTCCCTTGAAGGTTAGGGTTTTCCCACATTACCTTTCGACTCAGCATGTCACTCTTCATAGCCTAAGGCTTATGGTGAGGACTCAATTTGATATTTCAACTTGAGTGGTTCCTAAGTTTCTTTTCCTGTCCCCAGAACATGGCTTTTTAAAAACAGATATTGTGAATTACTGGGGAACTCAGTGAGTACACCACTCACAAGCCTTTAGATTTGTGATTTTTCATTGTTCAGGGCTTATGAAGCATTCTCTTATTTGCCAACATAAGCATACATTTAAAAAACGTTTTGAAGAGGGGGCACCTGGGTGGCTCAGTTGGTTAAATGTCCAATTCTCGATTTTGGCTCAGGTCATGATCAGAGGGTCATGAGATTGAGCCCTGCAAAGGGCATGGAACCTGCTTAAGATTCTCTCTCCTCCCTCTGCTCTGCCCCCAATGTGTGTGCACGCTCTGTCTCTCTAAATTAATTAATAAATAAAAGCTTACATTTTTTTTTGAAAATATATCCTACCTTGTAGAGTGTTGTGTACTAAGGTTTTCTAAAGGACATTAAGTCTTCTATTATTCCATAAAAGGAAGTTTTAGCTAAGTTTCAATATTTTTTTTAATAATGTTCACTAGCTTATTTCATGGTATAGTGGTGGAGACAAAGGGTTTTGTTTTATATTTTTTTAAAGTGATCTCTACATCCAACATGGCACTCAAACTCATAATCCTGAGATCAAGAATTGAATACTCTACTGACTGAGCCACCCAGGCTCCCTTCAATGAAATGATTTTTTACTCAAGTAACAGCAAGATACTCATTTTACTTAGAAAACAAAACAAAACAAAAAAAGATATGCAATGATGTAAGTATATTATTCTTTAACAGAACTTATTTTAACTCACAGATCCCCATTTTTCTTTCAGAGAAGAAAACAGTCTTCTGATTTCAAGTATAATCATTCACTTCCACATTAAAATTTATTCTCTCTGGGTAAATTTCCAACCAATTCACAATCATACACAGAATTCATTTCTCCATGTGGTGTAAGGCCTAAAATTAAGGCTCAATATTATATGCTGCCCTTACATCTGGGAAAATTGAGAGGGCTTCAAATGGCCTAAATATGTTTCCCTCTTCCCACTCTGCTCTCATGGATAAGGTACCCTGGCCAAACAATCCTCCTTATCAAAGGGACCAGGCACAGTTCCTACTTATCCTTAAGTTGTGATTTTGCCAGCCTGTGGAATTATTCAAACCAGTCAATCATTTCATCTTGTAAGAACCAGGAGGCACCACACACTCTTGTTACTACAAAGTATACCTCCTATAGTCCCTTGGTTGTTCACTCTGTTCCTCAGTACCATCCCTATGAGGCCCTGCATGGCCTTCAGTATCCTTCTCCATGAGTTATAAATATGTATGACTAATAATTAGCTATCAATCTCACCTCTACAGTGTCAAGTGCTGTGTGCTTAGCCATCCCCAGGTCCTCAAGGCAGGAATCTCTCCCTTACCAATGGGGTGGATAAGAGGCAACAGAAACCACTGTGTCCCAAATCACATGATATGCTCCACTATGACTAAGGACACCTGGTCAGCCTTAATTCATTGAACTTGGTTAACTTAGTTGATTCTGTGATATGGTGAGGCTGCCTGAGATGGAACAGCTAATTTCTGGCAGGCTTGGGCCATGTCCTGTGTGGTATTCTGTTGTCTTTGCCAGCCATTGCCATCCCTTCCCACCCTAAAACTCTCTTGCCTCCAAGATGAGAATTGTTATTTCACTGTACCCCAGTATAACCTGGTGATGTCGGGCTTAATCTGTTTGGCAGGTGGGCCCTGCTTACCAAGGATCAGCCTACATCACTGTGTCTGGCCTGGTGACTATCACCGGCTGCCTGAGGGAAGCTATACAGACATTGTTTGAACTGTGCACCTCCAGGACAGGCCCAGAAATAGATAGCCTCTTGTGAGGATTGTGGAAAGAAAGGAGATCACCACCCAGTAGAGAATTGAGCATGGCATCCCAGTTGTTGTTGTTCATGCAAGGGTAGTGACCTTGCTGGTTTCCTGTGCCGCTGCTTCCCTTGCCACTGTTGCTTGCGCTCTCCTGACCCTCAGGAGTATCGAGGTGCACATCCATCGTGGCCTGTGGCCCAGGGGCTGGTGAAAAAAAAAAGGGTAGGGGGAGGAAGGAACATTGGTACTCAACTGTTCTCCCAAAACAAAACTCATAGCCAATGTACCTAGGCTTTGTTCAGTATTGCTGCCTACCAGCACACCAAAGGGCAAATCCTACAATTATTGGCTTTATGGTCTCCATACAAGCCATAGACAAAATGACTTTATTGGACATGGACCTTGATCCCAGGAAGACTGGTATTTCCTGGATTAAAAGGCAACCCCCTACAAAGGAGGCTACCAAGCTTCTGAATGGTTCTCCATAAATATCCAAAACGTCTGCACTGCAGGTGATTTGTGCAGACAGAAACTGAAAGCTGCAATTTTATGTGCCTAAAAACCTAAAATATTCACGGGGAATTTAAACGGGGGGAAGGAAGTCCACATGACAGAAGAGGTGAGGCCACAGCAGAGGAAGGTTTTTATCCATCAAGTCTGGTGGTAGGCCCACAACCCTTCCCGGTGCCACTCTGTTCTCCTTGTCTCTGTTGCAACAAAGATTCTAATCCTCTACAACCCACCCATGGCACCCTTGTGGCACCATGAAGGGGTTAATTCAAACCATAAACTATTGCTACTGGGGAGACCCCCCCCCCAACCTGATCAGACTGATTTGAGGTTCTCTGGGGGAAGAAACTTATAAATATGGGAGGACTGGACAGCAGCATCCTCAACCAACAACAATTACAAGATACATAAAAAAATAAAACAAAGAAATAATTCTGAATACAGGGAGATAAAACCAATAAAAAACAACTTAAAACAGAGGTCCATAATTTGACCTAATTGGAAATCCAAAATTTACTAGAAAAATTTATATAGCAAAAAATAAAAGGACACTGATTGCTTGTGTGCCTTTACAATCTAAGTTCTGAGTTATTTTTTTAAAAGATTTACTTATTTATTTGAGGCAGGGGGGAGCAGAGGAAGATAATCTTTAAGCGGACTCCCCACTGAGTGTGGAGCCTGACCCAGGGCTAGATCCCATGACCCATGAGATCATGACCCAAGCTGATACCAAGAGTTGGACACTTAACCAACTGAGTTACCCAGGCACCCCTGAATTAATTTTAATATCTGCAGAAATTCACCAATTGGTCTTAACCAAAACATGGTATCCCCCTTAATCAAGGATTTACTTAAAGGAGTTGCTGAATATTAGGTAGAAGGCAAATAGGTATGACTCACTTTTAACTATAAGAACTTTTGTGTAGCTTAAATTCCCTATGGCTATAGCACTCATTGCCCTAAAATATCCCATAGTGGGCACAGATACTCTGACCCCCCCCCAAAAAAAAATGAAAATTAAGTTTTCAACACATACTGGTTTAACAAAATAAGAACCCATGACCCATGTCCCACTCCTCACTCTCCCCACCCCATTAAAATAGTTAACATGACTGAATGTAATTCAAACAAGGTCTTCAAGGATTAAAAACTTGTTATGTAACAGGTCATGAGTGAATCCTTCCCTAATCCCATTGCTATTCCATTTAACAGCCTTATTTGACCTGTTCCTTAAATCTCAAACAAATGAATGGCGGCCTACAGGGGATTGCTACAATTGTAATGCCACGGTCCCATCCCATTAAGACCTCTACACCCAATAACCTAATTCCTGAAATCACTGACTCTATCCAATCAGTGACTGGTAAATATTTTGCTACTATAAATTTGGCTAATATGTTCTGTTCAATGCCTATTTCAAACAGACTCTCAGACACTTTGCCTTTACCACTGACGGGACACAATTCCCCTTTACAAGGAATAGCGATGGGATACTTCAACAGCCTCGACATTGTACACAATTTTTATAGGCAAAATCTTAACTACACTAACTTTTCTCCAGGAGCACAGGTATGACATTATCTGTTTGACGTACTCATGAAAGACACAAAATAGTCACAAAAGAGCTCATAAAAAGGGGATAAAGCATTGTTCCACACATAGTGAAAGGCCTTGATGCCTCCATTAAATCTCTGAAAGATACTTGATAAACTGACAGTTGCTCCAGCCCTGAGATTATCAAGAAAGGTTTTGGGGAGCCTGGGTGGCTCAGTTGGTCAAGCATCTGACTCCTGATTTTGGCTCAAGTCATGATCTCAGGGTCAAGAGATTGCACATCTGGCTCTGTTGGAGTTCAGCACGGAGTTGGCTTGGGATTCTCTTTCTCCCTCTCTTCCTGCCTCTCCCCCTACTCATGCTCTGTAAGTAAGTAAGTAAGTAAATAAATAAATAAAATCTAAAAAAAAATTAAAAAGAAATAGGTATTGACCATCTTAGCACTCACATGGTTCAGACAACTTCAACATCTTTAGTCCTTTCTTGGGTTCGGAAGGTAACATATACTTCATTTACAAATTTCATTTAATGTCACTAATGTTATTTACAAATTAGCCCACTTTGAAGGGGGGGGTCCCACCAATAAAAGGCTCTAACACTGTCTAAATTGAAATCAGCAAGCACTCCAGTTTGTGCCCTCAGAAGCTTCTTCACCACAGGGGCTTCAGCAAACATCTTTCATGGCTCCTGGAATTTCTGGGTCACGTCTGCTGGCCATGAGTTGCCCATGGGCTTCTGATGCCTTTCTTGGCTTGGTATTATATACCATTAGAGTGGCAATTACTGGCCATACAATGGACTTTTCTGGAAATACAGCTCTCACAAACCTTAAGCCTGTGACGCTTTGCAGCTGGCTAGCCATTATGCCTTCAGTTATTAAAGCAGCACCCCAAAAGCTCAACATAGCTTCTGAGCCTTCTTTGTTACTGGATATGGTCAAACCTGGGCCCCCTGATATAATCTACCTGCGGAAGGGGTGGCCTGTCCTGTCTTCAGTCTCTCAACAGATGCCACAGTGCTGGTGGAGGCCCATGCCTTCGCCAGAGCCAACTACTTGGGGAGCCCGTTAGAATTAAATGAATGGCCAGCAATGGGAGTGCATACATTTTACTGATGATATCTCCACCATTATACATGATGGAACTCAGTGGAAAACTGCTGCTTTTATCCCTTAATCAGAATGTCTCTGATAAAATGAGAACCCAAGGGTCAGCAGGATTGGCATACTTCAGATAATAACAATTGGGCCCATCTGGACATTTTTGTACATTGCCTACAAGTTGCCCCCTTTGGGGTAAAGAACTCTGGGAATCACTTCACAAATACCCAAAATAAAAATCAAGGTAACCCATTTCTCTACATATATACACTAAGACTACAATATAAAGCTTCACTAGAATGTTCCTTATCCCCTTTGGAGTTCAAGATACACTAATAGTGACCAAGGCACTCATTTCACTGAGCAGAATGCACAATACTGGGATCTTGAAGAAAGCAATCAAACTTTCAGCTCCTTCATAGCCAGTCCTAGGCAGCAGGTTTGAGAGGCCGAATGGGCTCCTCAAGTACTATGTAAGTCACAAAGTAAAAAACTCATGCCCACCCCTGAGGATATCCACTCCCTACACTAATGCCACACAGATTTCTGCTCTGACATGTGGTAAAAATAGACCTCAGATAGCCTAATCACAAGTTCTTCTCCTCACACTGCCCTCATGGATAAGGTCCCTTTGCCAAACAGTGTTCCCTATCAAAGGGACCATGCGTAATTCCTGCTCATCCCTAAGTAGCAGGTTTCAGTTTCCTGACTGCCTGAAGAATTATCCAAACAAGCCAATCATATCCTCCCAGAGGAACCCAGAGGAGTGCCACCTTCTTAATACTACAAAGCCTGCCTCCCACAGCCTTGGTTGTTTACTCTGTTCCCAAGTACATTCCCTGTGAGCCCTAAAGTGTCTTCCTGCCCATGACTATGAGTATATGTGACTAATAAACAGCTCTTGATTGCATCTGACCACATCTGTTCAGTGTCAGGTGTCACGGGTTTATCATCCCCACAATCCTCAGGTGGAAATCGTGAATAGGAGGTGACTAACACACCTACCACCAATCCCACTTTCCTTTCTCTGTTGAAAGGGAACCTCATAAACATACACAATGGAATATTACTAAGCCATCAGAAAGAATGAATACCTACCATTTGCTTCAACGTGGATGGAACTGAAGGGTATTATGCTGAGTGAAGTAAGTCAATCAAAGAAGGACAATCATCATATGGTTTCACTCATACATGGAATATAAGAAATAGTGAAAGGGACTATAAGGGAAAGGAGGGGAAACTCAATGGGAGAAAAAAATTAGAGAAGGAGAAAAACCATGAGAGACTCCTAACTTGGGAAACAAAGGGTTGTGAAAGGGGAGGAGGTTGGGGGGATGGGGCAACTGGGTGATCGGCACTGAGTAGGGCACTTGATGGGATGAACACATATACATGAGTATATGGGTGTTATACTGTATGTTGCCAAATTGAATTTAAATAAAAATTTTTTTTAAAAAGAAAGGGAGTCTTAGGTATAGGGAAGACAGGCATCAGGTGTGCAGATGTCCTGTGACCACACTGACCGCGACGGAGTTACCACTTGTCCACCATTGTGCACTGAGATCCACTGCCATTGTCTCATGTATAACCAGAACCTCAGGTAGAAGTATACACATCTGCATCCTCTTTGTTCCAATCCTGGGGTATTTAGGGCCCATGGCCTATTTAAACTATCCTGTGCCTTTCTTGAGGTCATTTCAATCTTTCTCCTGCACCCCTATGGGAGGGTCTGGGAACTTCCATGTGGCTCATCTGCTGAGGCACTTCTCCTCACCATTGTCTGTCTACCTTTCTAGGGTTCTACTAAATACGAAGCTTCTTTAAGATGCTATGTTTCCCTGAGAATTAAATCCTAGTTCCATCTATACTTGGATTTCCTAACCTCATTCAAATTTCTACTGCTTAATTCCCCTCCAGCTCGACCCAGTGAATTGGGATCCTGGGCACCTTCCCAGAGACTCAGATAATACTAGGGGGGCCTCATCACATCTTGAATTCCTCTCTCACCACTACTGAATGATTCAATTCTCTCCTCAGAAAC